AAGAAAGTGGCTGGTCAACTCATTTATTCTCAATAAAATAATGCAATAGGGCAATGAATATAAGTCAGACTAGAATTTCATCCATATCCTTAACCAAAAGAACAGTGCTATCATTATCAAACATCGCTTCTTTCCTTACATCTATTCTTGCGATATATTTTGCAGACCTAATTAGATATGATCATTTTTTTCCTTTAACTTCCATAACTTCAAGGGCATAATTTTGAAGAATAGAGAACCCAATAAATATTTTCATTTCTTTGCATTTTTAATGAGTATCTAGAAAAACAGTGAAGATAATCATTTAGGTAAAACCACTACCATGTACATGAAACCTGCCATTTCTTAATGAAAACAGAACTACCAGTTCTCTCTACTGCAAACCGGCAATTGTACTTTAAAGATTTTTAAGCTCTACTCCAATTTTATTTGAGTTTAACAGGTTATACTTAAAATTGGGCACTCAAGCCTACAGCAATAAAGCTTGGAGCTATCTTTCCAGTCTCTTCTCCCACTCAAGAGGAGGGAAAAGGAGGACGGGGTATGCAGTGTACTGGGGAAGAAAGTGGGCTGTGGAATCTGAACGCTGGGAGTCAAGACCTGCCTCCACCAGATCTTAATCAAGACCCGGTCTTTCAGCCTCTTTGTCTGTAAAACAAAACAACAACAGCACCTACATCAAAGGATTCCAAAGGTTAACTAAAATAATTCACGTAAATCGCTTCGCACAGTCTGGCTTAGTCACTGCTCAATAACAAATGTCTGTTTCCATTACTCTCTTACATGTGCCTCACACTCCTGGCTCAGCTGGACTGCTTACTGCCCAATAACCACACACTGTGCTTTGTTCTCATTGTCCTGAGTCTAGATCACCATTCTGCTGCTTCTCTGCCCTGACGAAGTCCTCTTCCCTCCCAGGGCCCATCGCACCCTACTCCATCTCACTACTCAGGACTTGGCCCCATTGGCTTGCACCGCCATTGCTCTTGGTCTGCATTCTCTTATCACACTCATTCTATTCAACCTGACTTCCATCACAGTAATTTAGGACCTTGTCTCCTTCATGGTAAGGACTGTGTCTTACTAGCCTATTTATTTTCTACTGTATTTAACAATCTGTAAACAGTGGTTACTTAATAAGCATTTACTGGATTTGAAATAGTTATGGTTACTGATGAAAGGAAATATACTACCTAGATTAGCAGCTCCCTCACAGGATGCAAATAAAGATTAAATGGGAGGGTGCACGTAAATGGCTACTCACGAGTTACTATTTTATCATTAACCAACCACAGCTAGTATCTCTCCAGTGTTCACCATGTGCCTGGCACTGTGCTAAGTGCTTCACACATGTGAGCTCTTTGAAACAGGACTTGGCATTATGACCTCTCATTCCCCTTGCACGAAGTAGAGGAGACAAAAGTGTCTTTAAAATGACTGATGAAGTAAACTGGCTCTGATATGGCAAATTTAAAAGTAACTGAATTAGCCATATTATTAAAAAGTTGGCTTGACTAGATAATGCGATTCCTGATACTTTACTGCGTAGTGTTGAGGGTCAAAATAATCGGAGATATGCAAAAGTGTATGAACACTTGAAAATCTTAAAAATGAAAGGTAGTATTATACAAATTTGTATTCAGTGTTCAGGCCTACTAAAGGAAACGGTACTGAGAACTTCTCAAAGTCTCAATCCACTCAGTGGCAACACAGGCCAGTAACTGGAAACTCCCACGCAGCGCTGCTCTGAGGAGGAAACCAGACGATGCCAGGACAGTGCTTAGAACAGTGTGATAAGTTAACACATATATTTATCTCATTTGTTTTTTATCACAAGAGATGCTCTCAATTATCTAATAAATGAAGATCTAGGACCATGATGGATAAACTAAATCCAGACTTGATCCAAATTTTCTGAGTCACAAACTGTTCTAAATTCTTGACAGTATGAAATCATTGGTAGGTTAGTTACATCTTCTTATTGTCCTTTATATGATCATGGAAATGGACATCAATAAATAACAACAGGCCCAGCGAGGTCTCAGGAAGGAGAACGTGAAAGCTTGGAGAAGCCACAAAGCATATATTCATTTTCTAAAACGTCGGGAATTAAAATGCCTACTTCAGTTTCCACAAACATAACAGAATCTAGTCAAAGGAAAAACAAATTTTTATATGTTTGTGAAATGCTTCCTTTCATATTTTATAGATAAGATATTAATTTGTTCTTCTGTTCATTTCAGCTTTTAAAAGTGATAAAATGAGAAAACAAGCACCAAAGATCTACAAGGCAAAATGCCACAATGCAGGAAGCAAACAGTATTTCTTCTTCCAGGCATAATTATGTAAGCTGCTTTAAGCAGAAAAGATGTTAAAGGAATCATTTAAATCAAATTTAGAGGGAGATTTAAAAGTTCCTTTCTGTAAGTCCAGTTTTGTGGTGTCATACTATGAATCTCTTTAAATATAACGACATATAAAGCATGAAATTTTAAAAAATGATGACATGGATGGAAACTAAAAATGCTTTGCCATGATTCAAATGTGTAATCTCCTGCACTTATAAGCATTTCTTTTTTAAAATCTGTATTTGTAAAGGCACCAAAATAATCCAGTTTCTCAAAATGATTCCAAGGCAGTAACGAGATTTCCTCCCAAAAAAATGACTCCCCAGACTAAACGCCTAAGTATGTGTGTCATCTGTTTTCTATCTATAATCCTAGCTTTGAATGCTATGGAGATATAAATGAAGACAGAGGCCAAGGGGTGGGGGGGTCCCCTTGCCCAGATATAGAGCTGCTCATACAGAACAGCAGATTTTAAATTTCTAGATTCTACTGTATAGTAAAATTTCCAAAATAAAATCGGGTAGACTCACCTAGATTGTCAAATTTTAACTTTGCCAAGGAAAGGCATTAAAGAAAACAAACTAACACATTAATTATTTGTGAGGGAAAGGATATTTTAATATTCCCCAAGAATAAGCAGCCTATAATTTCAGAATAATGGACAGTTTTGTGAATTAAATAAATTTAGCTTTAGGTTAAACTCGCTGTAGTGTTCTTCTCTCTCCTGTGTTGATGGGCCCCTAAAGTGTACATCACAGATCAGCCCCATCTGTGGTGCAGCCTTTGGCAACCACTGAGAGAGGGCACAAAAGGTGCTAGAGATCCCATAAGATGTCTACAATTGGGGCACCCCTTTTTATGTAATATGGGTAAAACAAGGGGAAAATGGCAATAAAAATCTCCTTTATACAAAATAATCTGTTCTAATGTAGAATTCAGAATGTTCAGTATATGATTCTATTATCAATGTCTAAATGTTGTTATTCTCCTTGAAAAGCAGAGTAACTGAAAAGACCGAATCCATAAAGTTGAATCTAATCATCACTCTTCTATTCCTCTTCTGTTAGAATAAATGTTCAAAATATTTATGGAAAACAGCCTTCAAAAAGTTAAGTTTATGCATCAGTCATCTTCTGAAGCATTCAAAGGGCTCCATATTTACATGTTATACACAAAGATACTCATAGCCTACTTGAAATATATGTATGGAATAGACATTGGCTGTATGACAAGTGAAATGAAGGGACAGAGAGAGCAATGATTAGAAAAGTTACATCCTACTATTGGTTCATATTATAGTCCTATTGGCTGAATTAAAAGAATATATCTGGAAATTGATTTTTCTGAATTCCTATTCATTATTAATAAGATAGAAAATTTTAATTAAGGACGTATCATAAAAATTTGTTCATAAAATGACATTTGTGGACCAATTTTACTTCTGGGGGAATTTCTTTTTAAATGCAACGGTAAAGCTACTGCCCCTCCCTACGCCAGGATGCAATATGCCTGAAATATTCAAAGAGTTAAAGTAAGAGCATATAACTACAGCATCTAACAAAACCAGCCCATATGTTCAAATTATTCCAGGTAGAATGTGAACGCAACTCTCTAGTTAGATTTGCCAGATCACAACTTTTCATTCTCTACCCTTCTGCTGCGTCTCTATGGATTATCCTATCACTCATCTGCATCTTGACCAAAGGGCCCCCACATGAAGGTATAGGAAGTATGGAGGTGAGAAAATCTTGAGCATTTTCATTTTGTTACTACTTAAGACTCAAATTTTTAAAATTTTGCATTTAGAAATCTTAGCTAAAACACATCTTTGGTGGTAATAATGCACTTTAAAAATTTAAGCTTTTAAGAACAGTGTGGTGTAGGGGCTTAACGGTACAGGCTTTGAACTTATTCACTGCGTGAACTTGGACTTACTACTTAATCTCTCTGTGCCTCCGATTCCTTGTCTCTAAAACAGGGGTGTTAATGGCACCACTCTCATAGGGCTGGGAGATTAAATGGGATGACACATTAAAGCACTTAAAACAGAGCCTGGCAAATATGTCCATTAGGGTTAGCTGCTATTATTATCACTGTTATTGCTATTACTTATTCCTAGAGTACTTGAAAAATACACTGCATTTACAGAAGATTACCAAAAGAGTCAAACGTAGTTACAGTACCATATCTATCAATTCTGACAGAGACTTTTAGCAGATGAGAAATGTTCCGAGTTCAGAGTTAAGAAAAAAGAAAATAACTGTAGCCCAGTGGTGCAGCCATTAAGTTCGCACATTCCTCTTCAGGGGCCCGGGATTCACTGGTTCGGATCCCAGGTGCGGACATGGCACCGCTTGGCAAGCCATGCTATGGTAGGTGTCCCAAATATACAGTAGAGGAAGATGGGCACGGATGTTAGCTCTAGGGCCAGTCTTCCTCAGCAAAAAGAGGAGAATTGGCAGCAAATGTCAGCTCAGGGCTAATCTTCCTCACAAAAAAAAAAGAAAAGAAAAGAAAAGAATTGCAAAGAGAACATCCTTCACAATAAATGTATTGGTTTTCCCTGTCAGAAAGGAAATATTAAGGTCCACATTCTAGAAGCCTATGGGAAACCTGAGCAGCAGAAATGTTCTCCCCTGGAGCCACACTTACCCCTTGTTCATCCAGCTTCATGAGTTGCTCTGTGACTTTGGGAGTGTTGAAGGCCAACCGCAGGCACTGGACATTGAGCTCGGGAATCACGTGCTCCAGCACTTCTTTCAGGGGCAGCCCTCTGGCCGTCGAGTGCTTTGCCGTTGAGGGAATGGCATCCTCCAGAACTGAACCTCTCAGTGTCATGAGCTGGAAGAGAGACCCGTGCTCTGGTGAGGCCTCTCTGAGCGTGTGAGATGAGCAAACACAGCATAAGAGCCGCAGGCCTAGAGGTCCCCTTTAGGGAGCTGGGAATGACTTTTGATCGGTTAAGCCAGTGAGGGAGAAGGAACCAGGGAAGTGATAGAGGATACTCCGTTTATGACAAATGAGGCCAACACTTTCAAGAAGACCCAGGCAAGTCCAGAGGGACTCATGATCAAGTTTTCTGAGGACATTTACTTCCATGCCAAGTACAGTACTTCCTGATAGAGCTCAGTACGGTCAAGGTCTCTCTATGGCTGTCAAATGCTGCTAACCACACTAACCAGGAAATTAAGAAGGAGATCTCTCAGAGAAATAACTGAACAATTAATGCTCAGAATTTAGATGTCATACCTTTTTGCATTATAAAAAGTAAAGGAAGGATCAAGTTTAAAACTACATAATGTACTGCTGACAGGCATAAACTATTCATATCCCCAAATGCTGCCACAATAGAACAATGATTATAGTTAGTACAGCAGTACAGTCAACGGCATTTGAAATTACTTTAGATTTTCCCCTTATTTCTTGAAACAGCTTCCATTATTATGAACTATGAAAATGGGGAAAGAAATTTCCCAATGTAATGAAGGTCTGCTGGAGCAAAGTTAACCAGAGGGGAAGCCTAAAGCAGTCTTAATTTGCAAAAATTTTCACATGGCCAAGTTGTTAATATAGCTTACACACTGTCTGGTGACCTAAGGAAACAACCCCACTACATTGAACAAATTTCCACGAAGCCTGTAGGTTCTAAGGCACTGCACCGCGACAGGAGCTACGGCAGCTAAGAGGGGAGTACGAGGAGGGAGAGTGTGGCGTGTGAGAAGGCGAGAGGTAAGAACACACAAGTGCAATCCAGAAGGATACGTTTACTAAGAAAAGTGTAACGAGTCCAGGTCCCAAGAGAGTTTAAAGGCAGAAAATGGATTCTTGTGGCTCAGGGCATAAGGAAAGTTCCTCCTGGAAGGAGTGGTACTAAAAAGGAGCCATGAAACCTAGGAAAAATTCTGCAAAAGGAAAATGTCAGAGAGCAAAGGTACAAAGATAAGAACGAACAGGTGTGAGCGGGCAATGGCCACTGCTGCCGCTTAGCTGGATCTGCAGAGAGCGCGAGGGAGAGTGAGGGGGGAAAAGCTTTTGGGTCGGGGAGAGCCCCAGGGCAGCAGAGCCTGCTGCCAGCTCAGGGGTGGGCACCTCATCAGGCTCCAACCGGCATCCTGAGAACGCGTGTGAATGGGGACGATGACATACACTTCAAGGAAATTTAAGTTGGCAAATAAGATGAAGTCCAAGAGGAGGAACGCATAGGCAGAGAATATAGCTAGAAGGAAGCTGTAATAGTCTTCAAGCAGCAGGAGAAGAGGGCATGACCAAGGATCAGCAGGGAAATTGGAAACCAAAGGAAGAGTCACCAAGGAAATAAAACCTGCAACATTTACCAACAGACGGAGAAGAGAGAAGAGGGCAAGAAACGCAAGATTTACCAACACCTCACCCTCAATACAGGAAAAAGCGACTCGAGGTATTTCCAGCCTATTAATTTGATTAGTGTTTTTTCTTTCACTTGATACATAACGTTTTCAAATAACAAGTGTGTAAAAAATGTCATTTTCCCATGACAATATCTAATTTGACAGAAACCGAGTTTTTGTTCTTTCTTTCTTTTTTTTTTTTTTCAGATTTTATTTTTCCTTTTTCTCCCCAAAGTCCCCCAGGACAGAGTTGTATATTTTTAGCTGTGGGTCCTTCTAGCTGTGGCATGTGTGATGCCACCCCAGCATGGCCTAATGAGCGGTGCCATGTCCGTGCCCAGGATCCGAAGCACAGTGCGCAAATCTAACCACTCGGCCATGGGGCCGGCCCTGTTCTGTTTTCTTTTTTAAATCACAGGAAACTGCTGGGCAGCTCAGTTGTTGTGCTCCTCCCTCCACGAGATAACCGTGCGGGGGAAAGGAAGCCACAAAGGCTGGAAGGATTTTCAGTTGAGAAACCAAGCCGAGGAATGCTAACCCTGGCTAGTCCTGCGCCAGAGGCTCACCTCAGGAAAGCCAACGCAGAGGAGAAAAAGAACGGCTCATTTTTACATCTGAATCGCTGGTATGACCGATACTTTCGTAATGACTTCCAGAAACAAGAAGGGAATCTTCATAAGACGCTGTGCTTCTAAGCTTCAAAGCACTCACACGCCATGAGATTCTGTTCATAAACGGTCACGCTTACACATATGAGGTCTTTTGATTGTTCGTTTATGTTACACAGTGATTATTTCTATTCAAATGAAAGAGATTTCTTTGTACTTCTGTTATCTTGACGCCATTTACTGAAGCAACTGGAATGTTCCTGTGGTGACCATGTTTCCCTTTTTCTCGACATATTTATTAACATGAGACATTACTAGTATGGCCAGTCCCTACAAAGGCGTAACAATGGCGTCTTACTTTATTACGCATTCAGTGAACGAGAAGAGCGAAGCGCCTGTTCCACAAAGTGCAGGAGCTGTGGACCGGGATCAACGTCCAGAGATATTTCTATCAAAGGACTTCTGTTAGTTTATTTCTACGAAAAGCTTCATAAAGATACTGCAATTAAGCCATATTTAAGGATTACTTTTATTGGAAAGAAAAAAATTACAGAAAAGCTAGTGGCAATTAAATAGACATTAAAGGAAGGAAGGAAGGAAACAGGGAGGGAGGGAAGGACTATTTCAGGCATCAGGCATGCAGTGATGACCAACTCAAAGGCCCCCTCCTCACGGGGCTTACCTTCTAGATGGGGAAACAGAAAATGAACAAAATAAACAATCACACTATGTGAGACAGTGTTAAGTGTTCACAAAAATAATCCAGGCTGGAACTGGATAAGAAATGGGGATATGAGGGAGCAGAAATTTTAGATCCAGTGGTCAAGGAGGGCCCCTGTGATCCGTGAGTGAAGGCCAGAAGGAAATGAGAGCGCTCCGGCCAAGAGGATGCCTGTGAAAAAGCGTCTACTACAGAGGAATTGGGAGTACCCAAGCGCTGAGGCAGCGTCCCAGCGCTTTCTGACGTGGCCGGAGAAGACCAAGCGGGGGCAGTTATCGGAGAGAAGGTGGGAAGCAGATGTGCATGGCTCCTACACAAGTAAGGAGACTGGCTTTTACTCAGAAGGAGAGGGGAACCCATTACAGGATTTTGAATTGAGGAATGACAAGATCTGGATTGCATTTCAAAAGGATCCCTGCTAAGTAAGGAAATGGACCCAAGGACGTCAACTAGGTCAGCAGGAAAAGGACTGAAGTGCAAGACAGAGAAGGTAGAGCATCTTGGGCGAGGCCTGGAAGAACAGAGGTGGGGAAGGCAAGAGTCAGCGGGGTCCACCAAGCACAGCAGAGGGACCACGTTAACTCAGGATGGGAGTTAACATTGGGGAGAGAGGCTGGGACTGGACATGGAGTGCCGGCAAGGCAAGCTGGAGGGACCATCACGGAAACCAGTGACAGGATCTGGGAAAGAACGTGCAGATTTTGAAAGCTTCAATTCTGCACGAAGGGTGACAAGAGAGTGGCAAGATGAGGAATTTAAATGAATAAGAACACAGAAAAGGGCCGGACTCATGGCCAAGTGGTTAAGTTCGTGCGCTCGGCTGTGGTGGCCCAGGGTTTCGCCGGTTTGGATCCTGGGCCTGGACATGGCACCACTCATCAGGCCACGCTGAGGCAGCGTCCCACATAGCACAATTAGAAGGACCCATAACTAAAAATACACAACTATGTGCTGGGGGGCTTTGAGGAGAAAAAGGAAAAGTAAAATCTTTAAAAAAAAACAGAAAAGGAAGAATATGAGGGGGAGTTAAATCAGAGCGGCCTTGGGAGGGGAAAAAGATAACAATAGGAGGGATGAAAACACTTGGGAGGGAGGTAACCGAGGCTCGTAGAGATCTTGTGGGATCTGAGAAGCCAAAGAGGAGCAAATACCTACAGCCAACTTCAAAACACAGTGTGCTCTCTGTGCTTTTCATGTTCAACGAAAGAACTTACAATGCTTGATGCTTAGCTGTGCATGGAGAAAAAGTACTCCAGAGCATGTGAGCTCTTCATTTCTCTCAGGCCGCTGTACACAACACATTAGATATTAAAGTCTTGCCGTTAAAAATCCTATTTTTAATTTCCCCAGAGTTCAAGCTTAGGAAGAATTACTAAGTGAAGCCAACCCCTAAAACTTGCCTTGCATTCAACAGGGGAAACGAAGCCAAATGCCCTATTTAAACTAGTTTCAAAACCATTATTTTCTGGATACCTCAAGGGGGTGTTAGGCATTAATGCATAACAACAATCCTAAAGTGAATTAGGCGTGGAGAGGCAATAAATTGATAACTAGCACAACTATACACATGTGTAGAAAGAAAGCAAAAAAAGAACCTTACGGTCCTAAATTTCTTCATGAGTTTCTTTAAAAAAATGTTTTGTTGGCTATTTTATTTTTCCTTTTCTTTTTCAACCTGAATTTCATTTTAAAATAAAAACTCATATTCTGTGCTCTTAGATTCCTAAGGAGCTCCAAGAGCCTCTATCTTCCATAATTAGTCTCTGGTTCAAATAGTCTGTTCCCTAGGCCTCAGAGAACAGGTCCAAGAGAGAGCTAGGCGAAAGTGGAAGAAGAAAAGAGTGTTTTTCCCTCTTCTTGGGTCAGGAAAGGTCCTAAGCAATAGTTTGGAAGAGTGAGTTACATCTTGGGTGACCTCCTCTCTATGTAAGTACCCTGGCTCCTCAAGCTGGCTCAGTGCTTTCTGGCTGCCCAAGCAGGATACGCAATATCCCATTTGGGATTCTGAGGGCTCCAGTTTCCTCAGGCCACACTTAACGGACATATCTTCCTCTGAATCAAAACTCCCATTCATTTATTGCATCTACCCAGAGCTAGATGGAAAGAAAGGATCCAGATCTATTCATCATGTCACCCCCCACCACTAGAATGAATGAAAGGGGCTGTTGTTGATTCTGAAGACATCTGTAGCCATGTGCTATTAAATTTAATTGCTTTGTTACTGCTACTGCTCTATTTTTGTCTCACTTCAATTAAGCCTCAAGTCTTTCCCTTTTACAACTTACCTCACTCGTTCTAAAAATTATTCGGTAGTTGTATGGCGATCCGTTTTCTTTTGTTTCTTCTGGTTTTTCCCTTCGAATGCTCACAGCCACCGGACCAAGATTTTCATCAGCCCCAAAATAGTTCCAGTGTTCTTAGGTAAAATAAGACAAAACAAAATTAGAATGTTACATTCTGCTTGATATTTAGATCACTCAGAAATCACAGTATATCAATAAAATGTAAACACATTTAACAAATATTAATATTCTTCAATGAGTTATAAAAACACAGACTTGGCTACACAGGTTTCATTTCAGAGGAGGTAACACTGACAGAGGTGGCCTGTTTTTGTTTTGTTTTGTTTTTTGCCGAGGAAGATTTGCCCTGGGCTAACATCTCTTGCCAATCTTCCTCCTTTTTTGCTTGAGGAAGATTAGCCCTGAGCTAACATCTGTGCCAATCTTCCTCTATTTTGTATGTAGGTCACCGCCACAGCATGGCTGATGAATGGCATAGGTCCACACCCAGGATTGAACCCAGGAACCCAGGTCGTTGAAGCAGAGCACACCCAACTTTTACCACTATGCATGGGGCTGGCCCCCTGTTGAGTTTTTTTACTGCTCTGCAACTTGCTATCTAAAAAAAGAATTTATGTTTTCTCTCATCTAAAGAGGTTATGTTTTGTGTGCATCTCTGCCTAAGAAAAGGTTTGCGTCAAGGCTTCTTAGCTTTTGTTTAAAACAAAACAAAACAAACAAAACCCTTCAACCTATTGAGAACACCGTTTGAGGAGGGAGGGATTTCCCCCAGATTAAAAAAGACTTCCCCCTGGACTGGAGAGAGAAGAAAGGTCTGTGAGTCACTCAGCAGCATTCTGCTCCCAGGTAGCCCGAGTAGGATGGGGTAGGGTCTCAGAGGAAAGAGCTTCAAAATGCCCCAGGGAGGGAGAAGGCCAGACCCATGGCTCTGGGCCTCACCAATGGTCCCCATGTCGTTAGCACAAAAGGCATCCAGCCAAGCCACTAAGACTGGAGGGCATGTGCGGCTGGACAACAGGCCTCTCCTAGGCAACCAGCGAGGCCAGGTGACTGATGACGACTCAGGGGCCTCTGCTCAATGCTCTGGCATTGCTCAAGACCCCAAACCTTAGCACAACCTTGGGGCTCGGGGAACATCTCGAAATGACTAGTACCGAATCTACCCTCCTCTTAACAAGAAGGAAGGTCAGGATCAAAATTAAATTAATTTACAGAAAATTTAAAAAGTGATATTTACTGTACATCTAAGTATATACTTCTTTAAAAAATTAAAATTGTTGCTACATATATGATATGTTCACAGATGAGGAAGTCCATAAAACACAGAAATAAATGAAAACCTAGAGTAGATAACTTAGTTTTCAAACCTCCAAAATACTTACTTTACACTGGTCTATTTCATTCACACGTGACATGGCTAAATGACTGAGTCATGACATGACAGCTTATTCTCATACGAAATGTATACATATTGGAAAAGATATGTTATTCCCTTACAAAATACATAAGTATTTGAAAATCCATGAGAATAAGAAGAAACAACAGCATAAAATATCTAATCACGCCGTTTTAAAATTTAGGTAATGCATATGAAAACACTTTTCAAGTACTAAAGAATGATTATAAAAAACATAATCATAAACATTGAGGGCTCTCTTAAGAATATTATCACATCCATGGAAATTCAAAATAAGAAACCACAATGGGAACACAGGCAACAAACATCTCATATATGGACAACTGAGAAACAACCCAATAAATGGCACAAAATTCATGTACAAACACTCATGTACACCCTCAAAGCACAGCACATGGGAATCACACTCAGAGGTTATTTACTCTTACTTTGCACAAATTTTAATAAGCTTGGTTGTCTGGTCTTCAAGCCCACAGCTTTATTCAGAGGTGTGATAATTCCAGATGTTGACAAAATCCAGTGTGCAGGGCTGATATACACTTGCATGCAGACAGCAATGTGAGAGAACAACTGACAACAGGGAAGAAAACAGAAAGGGAGGAGACAGAAATAGTATAAAAAAGCAGACAAGAACTTAAAGCAAAACAAGACAGCCGTCTGGGGCCATTTACCAAAGGTGCAAAGAGCTTAACACACTTCCATAACTTCAGAGAGTATTTCAGTACCGCAGCACAGAACAGTGGATGTGTCAAAGATGAGTGTGAGTCACATTCATTATATTCTGTTCCTTGCACTTCATGGACTCCAATGAAACCTGACTCTCTAGAAACTCCTCAAACACACGCACAAACCTAGGAAGAGCAGATGAGACTGCTGTCCTCTGCTGCTGGGGAAATTCACAAAGATACAGGGCCACCATCAATTCATCATCAATAACCTTAACTCGTCCTCAAGCTGTCCTGTCTCTGGTCGGCTCAAGCTCCCCTTCTCCAGAGCAGATATTTCAAACACTCTCTGTTCTCCTTCAGCCTCCCCCAACCACCTTCTCCTCAATCTCAGCAAATGATACTGTTGTCCACAGCACAAAGAAAACAAAGAAACTATTTCAGAAGCAACTGTCCTCACTTTCCACCACCATACTCACAAACTTACCTGGATCCAGCCTTTGCTCCCTTTTCCTTACAATCCAAAACCCCATCTCCCCTTCAACTCTGGCCTCCACTCATTCCACCTCCCCAGGGACTCTGAGGCCTCAATCACCCTCTCTTCATCTTCATCTTCTCCCCACCTGCTCATTCCTGTCATCATGTAATCAGGTTCGAGTCTCCCTCATCTTTAAATATAACACTTACTCTCAACTCCTTATCAACCTTCAGCTATCTCCTCTTTCTTTTCTTCCACTGGAAACTTCTTCAAAAGAGCTGCCTAATTCCTCGCCTTAGAATTACCAAATCTGACTTCCACTGCACAGTCACCAACGACAGCCTTAAAGTCCAAAACAAATAGATACTTTTGATCTTTACCTTGCTGAAACTCTCCATAACATCTGGCACAGTTGATCATTTTTTCTAGAAACACTCTTCCTGGCTTCTATGACACCACCCTCTCCTGATTTTCCCTCTACCACTCTGCCTGTTCTTACTCAGTTTCTCTTCCCCTTCCTATCTGGAATATTCCATCCACTCTCAGAACTTCAACTGCCATCTCAATGTCGACAACTCTCAAAAGTCTTCATGCCCACTCCAGACCCCTCTAAGCCCCAGATCTCTGCTTCCACCCAATGGAACTGTCTACTTGTTTGTCCCACGGGCACCTGCAAAAGTGAACCCAGCACCTTCCACATAAACCTATCCAGCTCTTGCTGCAGTCTGAATTTCAGGGACTGCCACCACATCACACTGTCATGCCCTGTGAATTCCACTTCCTAAATCTCTCTCGAATCTATCCAGTCATGCGCTGCAGAACGACATTTCAGTCAACAACGAACCACAGATACGACAGTGGTCTCAGAAGATCAGTATCACATAGCCTAGGTGTGTAGTAGGCTATACCATCTAGGTCTGTTCGCACAACAATGGAACCACCTAACCATGCATTCTTAGAATGCACCCCCGTCATTAAGTGACACGACGTACTTTTTCCCATTCCACTGCCACTGACTTACCCTCATCATCATTTGTCTGGATGTTTCTAAGTTTTCTAGCCAGTTTGCTTTTATCCAATTTGTTCACAGAGGATCCTTCTAAAACGCAAATCTGACCACTACTAAGTTTAAAATCCTTCTTTGGCTCCCTCAGGGTCCTTGGATAGCTCCATGGTTTCCCAGAGGCCCTCACTCCCTGTCAGGAGCCTGACACTCCAGTCTCAACTTAGACCTTTCCATCATCCTTTTGAATGAACTATAGTGAATTTCTCCCACTCAAACTCACTAGGCCCTTTCTCATCTGAAAAACTGTGCCTAGAACATTCTTCCCACAATTCCACTTTATTTGCCTAAGTTCTCTTATCCTTCCGGTCTCAAATGAAATATTATTTAGACATCCTCTAGAAGAACGATTGAATACTGGAGCAAACTTAAAGTGTTAATTTTGTATATTAATACTAATATTTTATTTAAAAATGCTAAGAATTCACAAAAACACAATTACTGAAATAAAATATTTAATATATTTCAAATGCAAAAATTTAGAAACACTACAACACAAAAAACGTAAATTTATAAAAATATAAATATTAAAACAATCACTTTAATATAAATTGGCAGATAAAATAGTGTTATTTAAAAAGAAACTAAACTCTACATAGAAATTAAGAATTATCATTTAAACTTTTTTTGTGTCATCAAAACCCAACTATATTTTTGTGCAATTTTTCCCATCTGCTGATTAAGTACATTTCTGATTTGGGGGAACATTCATGAGATGATTATAAACTAACTTCTAATACTTTGTTCAGACTCTTATCTTCAAACAAAGGCATCTCTGGTTTGATAACTCTGCGAAGATCTTTTTAAACTTACATGTGTGTTTGATGTTTCTGCACAATCTCTTTTTCATTGAAAAAGAGCTCTAGCTGTTACTTCCAAGGAAGCACTTCTATTTGTTCTTCATCTATTTATGTTTCATCAGTATAGATGGAGATTCTGGTCTGGTTTCCTGTGGTTGTTTTTTTTTTTTTTTTTTTTTGCTGAGGAAGATTGGCCCTGAGCTAACATTTGTGCCAGTCTTCCTCTACTTTGTATGTGGGACGCCACCACAGTATGACTTGATGAGCAGTGTGTAGGTCTGCGCCGGGAATCCAGGCCTTTGAACCCCAGGCTGCCAAAAGCAGAGTGCATGAACTTAACCACTAGGCTATGGGGCCGGCCCCCGGTTTCCCATGTTAAATTCACTATCATGATCAGACTGCTTGTTCAAAAAGTCTTTTAACCTGAGTAAGAATTATTCTAACAATAAAAGCCTTGTTTTTTTGTTGACTGTCCACTTTTTCTGCTCCTGAGGATCATACAGGTATAAAAAAAAAAATCTTTCCATGTGACTACACTTTATTCAACTCAAAATCCTAATGCAGTGTGTAACTTTCTGATAGAGGAATTTGGTTCAGAATGTCACCTTAAATTGAATTTTTTTTTCAAAGATTGGCACTTGGGGCCAGCCCGGTGGCTCAGCGGTTAAGTGTGCATGTTCTGCTTTGGCG